TTGTGATTTTTTTATTCAAAACATGAAGATTTTTGCATATTATTTTTATCTCAATGGTGTCATTTATATAGTAAAACGTTTATTTGTATCGCTTTCTTGGTGGTGATTTACAAGTGAAGATCTGTGCATTAATTAAAAAAAATACTTTGATACTAATGTATGTGCTTGTATTTATAAAACAGATACATTCCATTATTGTATGTATTTGGAATATATAATATACACAATATATAGGCTTCAACTACATGTGGGCCAGCACAGTGCAAGACAATAGCCACCTGTGTCACTTTTTCTTCGCCGAGGCGCCACTGGAGGTCATGTACATTTCAAATTGCCGTTTCCATTTTCGGAAATTTTCTGCAATATTACCTTCCGTAATGTTCAGTTTTTCGGGAAACGAAATGCACCTTCAGCCATTGTTCGAGTTTACTTCTGCCACCATGTAAACGACCAGGTCTAACAGGACCGTAACCAGACTTTTACAGAGTCATAACAAAACACGACTATTCACGTTGACTAAATATTAAAGAAATATTACCAAGATTAACTGCACTTAGAACACTACGATATTTTGGACAGTTCAGAATTTTATCAAATTCAGTAAACGGTTTCGTTGATCCTTATTAGTACACATGTTCGTATACGACCTCATTATTGTTGTTGTTAAATATATTCTACATCATTTACATATATTGTATATTGAAATCAAAAGTGTTTATTGTATTTTATATTCTAAATACACTATATAAGGAAGTATGCGTATCATAAGTACATGTGTTTGTGTACGAGTGTTTACGAGTGTTTGCGCGTGTGCATGCGTGCCATCGTCCGTCCGTGCGTGCACCTCAATACTGTGGCAAATTATGATGGATCTCTCGCATTCCGCTGTAGTGACTGGCATAGTGCACAACAACCTCAGCAGAATGTTGGGATAAAATCCTGCCTCACATGACTTGAGGGCATCCCGGATAGTTGCTGGAGGGACTGTCGCACTATTGGCCTGCCATTTTCTCCACCATCTGAGGTATCCACATGGTAGACTGTCTGGAGATGGTAGATCCTCATTGTAGCAATCAGCAGCGAGCGACTGAAATCCTTGTGGCAATGCTCCAGTAGGCTGCTCAGAGACGACATCAGGTGTGAGCTGCATCCCATCAACAATGAGTTAGTTGTGCGCGGAGAAGCGGGTATCCAGCTCACTCGTGATGTTGTCGAGGAAGGAAATCAGGATGGTTCGTCTGTAGTACTCGGGAACAGTTGTTGCAGGTATGTTACTTCTTATGGTTTGACGCTTACACACTCTCGGGATTTTCTGCTCCACATCAAGGCGCTTAGCTAGGTACTTGGCCTCCTGGTGCCACACCTTGAAGGCATTCCTTTACCTGGATGATCTCTCCGTAGCTCTGGATTATATCCTTTGATCTCTGCTGCACGTTGACGGTCACAGGTTTCAAGTATCGGAGACAGTTCTTCAACTTCTTGAAGGCAATAAGGAACTCAAAGTTCAGTAAACATGCTAAAATTCCTCTCGTTTTCACCAGGGTTTCAGAGTCACATATCTTGCTGGTGTCCACCATGTCTTCCAAACAACTCACGATAACCTGGTAGAGTTCGCCAAATGCTTCGATGGCTACATGTCGCTCGATCCATCGAGTCTTGCATAAGTCCACCAGCTTTGTCTTCCTCTCCTGGTGGATAATCTACCCCAGCTGCCTCGGGCGTTTCGGCGATGCATTGAAGAAGAAATAGATTTATTTCAAGGTTCCTAGCATGTTCCTCGTCACTGGTATCTGGCACGCCGTCACAACGCTATGGTCGAGACAATGTGGTGGACGTAGATTGCCGTGTCGTTGATGCGTCCTTGCACACCCTTCACATGTCCATCCATGTTAGATCTGCCATCGTAGCACTGACCTTTAAAGTTCTCAATTGGAAGATCCAAGTCCTGATGGGTGTCGCAGATCTTCTTTGAAGAGCCTCACCTGTAAAGCACTCACAACCCAGGAAGCACAGAAACTGTTCCTTGATAGCATTGTACATTGTCAATATATTGCACCACTAAAGACATGTGATTCGAGTTCGACACGTCCGTTACCTTGTCTGCGAGAATAGAAAAGAACTTGACCTTTCTCACTTAATCCAGGATAGTATCCCTGATCTGGTTTCCAATGATGGCAATCAGTTGATTCTGAGCTGTTTTGGAGATGTAAGTTGCTCTGCTGCTGGCTGTCTTCAGGTGTGCGTCAGGTACGGTGTCACCTGCTTCGATCCTAAACTCCAGTAATTCGCTGAAGTTGCCTCTGTTTGTAGTAACTTCTTTGTTTATTGCATTGTGACGGTGGCCACGTAGAGCTAAGAGTTTTGTTTCCCACAAAACAGGACAGTTGAGGCTATTGACTTAAGGATCTGTCTGTTTATTGCAAACCGTTAAGCTACGGCCGACTGGCCTTGATTACTGTGGCAATCTTGCATCTGGGTAGTAGCTGAGTAATAACCGATTCCCCATTACGCATAGTCTCTCTACATATGATCCCTTTCCTTCATTTTCAGCTTCTCAACATTTTTAATAACACTGAGTGTTCCTATGAACCAGGTAGATCTTGTCGCTGTGGTCGGTTACCAGCCTTTACAAGAGGAGATCCATATAGACAGTACATGTGTTACCGAGGTTCGCAATCACAAGTAAGATCCCGTGTATTCTTTGGAACATACCTCACATACTTGCATACATAACATAGTAAAAAGGAAATAACTCTATCGACAAAAGCTATTATATAACATATGTCTATTTTACCCTATCAAATGTACATATTTGCAACTGAACATACCTCACATACTTGCAGGAGGAGTGACCTCGGTCATCGTATAAGTCAACCCAGGTTCTAGTCTAGGGTTCCACGTGGTTCCAAGCGTACAAATGAACAAGTCCCAAATAACATTTAATAAACTTTATTATAGAAGATAGAAGTAAACAAACATGTACACAAGAACACGACGAGGGCCCTTACCTACGGCCACCGCTGGGACACATAATTAACATAGCGGGTCAGCTACTTGGCGTCGCCCGGGACATACACAAACACAAGTAACGTTGTACATTCACACCCACCTTATAGAAACAGACCCGTTAAAGGGGCATCACGGTGAAGTAACTTTATTTTTTGTCTTTTTTTCAAATACTACATAAACATATCAAGTGAGACTCCTTATGGAAAATAACGGTCGGATTTGGCTGAAATGGATTCATAAAAATGATTAAATCTAAGAAAATCATCGGTATTTCTACCTGTCTGACCAACGTTTTGTTCAGGGATTTCCCTCTACCAGCGCATGCGCATAGCACACCATTTCTTTGTAAACAAAACGACTGGCCGTGTGCGTGAAGTAAGCGAAAGAAAAGTGTTGTACCGTCTCAGCTACGAAACGAAAAGTTGCCAAATGGTCAAAAGATAGCGCATGGAGTACGTTACGGAATCATTATTGCAGTATTAAAAGGAGAAAATAACTGCCGTAGCAGTTAGTACGGTGCATGTATTCTTCCGGATAGCCGGTTAAGCTGAAATGGAATCGACAGAAATGCTAGCGCTGTTTATGTTATGAATAAATATCTAAAACTATTAAGCTCGCTAGTATCTTTGTCTGAGTTTGAACACAGATGAACTTGGTTCAATATGTTAATGGGCATGTATTGGAGAGAGTTTACTTTGTGTTTCTATAATTATACAGTGGTTTATGCGAAAGGAAGGGATAAGTGACTGGTCAGTTTGATTTTGCCATGAGGCCTTCCAAGGGATAACTGTTGTGATGGCCCACGGCGTATTTTCTGGGTCACCGAGATACGTGTTATCTAAGTCCGTGGATTTACATAATTTATAATATTACCGGGTTCAATAAAATGGGATGATTTAATTATATTGCTGAATTAAACGATTATTTTTGTTTTTACATGCAAGATTTAAATTCGTACTAATATGAATACCCGGCCTCCTCTGCCCCGGCAATATATAAAAAAAAATCAGAAAGGTTTGTCCCTTGGTGTAGGGAAGGTGTTTAGCCCCGTACCATCTGTACCGGCCACATTCCGGTACTAAATTCAATATATATTTAAATATATCTACTTCATGTTTATGTCTATTATCATTGTTGACATTTAATTGTAAATGTATGACGGGAGAAGGCTGTGATAAATTGTAAAAACTTGTGCCCCATCCCTTGTTTAACTTTATTGGCAACACATTTATGTTAAAAGCTAAATAAATTTAAATTCTGAACATTGACAAGTGTGCAATTAACTTCTTATGATGAATAATTACTGTTCACTAAGTTTGTATACGGACTTAGAAATCATATAACTTGGTTTCATAGTGCGGTAAGAAGTTGCAGTTGCCTGACGGCCCCTCTCTGGGGGCCCCTTTGGAAACCGTTTCATCTCACCCGCACTATTTGTGTTTACTGCCTAGTCAGGTGACGTTATCGGCGCTATTTTTAGCAGGGCTTTCCCGAACAATTCAAGTGGTCAAACTGGACATTTGGATCGGACAATGAATATGGAGATAGCGAGGTTAACATCAGTGGAAGTGCATACAATACATACATTCATTAAAAAAACGCCTTTTCACGTTGTGCTGTTATCACTTTTTAAAGTGATCTTTCTTGTAGCGTAAACAAATAACACGCCATGCTTGAATACCACTGCAAAACGAACCGCTTTTATTGCCTCCAACCCGAGTGTTCCACAAGGGGACATAATCAAGATAACACAATATCATCACATCTCCCTCCCTTAAAGGAAAATAACGTAAAGATAAATTTACCACTACAAGATAAATCTAAGCAGTAATATTATTTCAAAGTCTTAAAACTTTACCTTGTTTGGAACTTTTAAGAATTAAATTGAAAACAAAATATCCAATAAGAACACTTCAAATAACTGAATTAGCAGTGTCAATATTAACCAGTTCTTTTAGCCAGTTCATATGACCCGACTAAGAAATAAGATATTATATTTCTTCAATGAGCCTATCTGGTCTCTTAATGGTTCTTTCCGATTTCCTCAGGACTATTGGACTACTCACGGGAGTAATGTCCTGGCGTTCATCATCAAAGTCTGTACATGTACGCGAACCGATCTGATCACTATCGACAATGTCTGGTGTTGGCGACTCTACCACTTCGCGATCCATGCACTTCAGGATATCCTTGCGATTTCTCCGATATGTGTTTCCAGTTTCAGATTCAACTAGGTATGACCTGGGTGATACCTCTTCACGGACTACACCTTTTGTAGACCACGCACTATCACGACAGTCTCTGATCCTCACAGTGTTCCCACGATCCAAGGGAGGTAACTCGCGAACACGTTTGTCATAATAGAACTTTTGCTTCACTTTATCCGCGTACCTTTCCTTTCTGAATTTCTCTGACGACTGGGATTTCACGATAAGTTGACTGTCAATAATTGGTAGATTTGACCTTGCTTTTCTCCCGTGGAGAAGCTCGAATGGGGATTTTCCATGTTTTAGTGGCGTCGTTCTGTAAACCAATAAGTTCATGTAGAAATCACCTTTGTCCTCTCGTGTTTTCTTGAGAAGATTCTTCACAATGCCTACACATTTCTCAGCAAGCCCATTTGACTGAGGAAAGTTTGGACTTGATGTAGTATGCTGGAAATCATAGTTTCTCGCAAATTGACGAAACTCGCGTGACGAAAACTGCGGACCATTGTCACTATAGACCTCCTTGGGTACTCCTTGACCAGCAAATGTGTATTTCATGGCCTTAATAACTGATGCAGTATTCAGGGTTTGTAGAGGACATACTTCTGGGTAGTTTGAGTAATAGTCACATATTACTAAGAAATTGTCACCTTTCAGTGTACAAATATCTACACCGACTTTTTCCCATGGAAACT